CAGAAAGATACTGTGATTCTAAGGCAAATTATCAATACATATGAATTATTTATGGCATTCAAGACACTCAGAAATAGAAGTTAATGACTCTGTGAAAGAATCTCAGTTATTAACGGAATGGTTTAGCAGATTTGTATTGTCTTGCATCTTTTCCATACTCTTGCTGAGGAGCTTTAGAAAACAAAATACTTGCTCTGTCCCCTGACATATTCTTTGTAAGGAACAGAATTTCAGATTACATGCAGGTTTACGCTAGAACTTTATATTGGAGACTTGTAAAGAGGAGTTTTTCTCCACTCTCGAGATGGTCTTGCAAACAGAAATGACCGAAAACACTTACACTTTCCACAAGTCTTGGTGGCTAGTTCAAAGCAAAGCCCACTTGCTCCTTGTAAAATTTGTGTATAAGATAATCCAAAAGAGAGTATATACATGGTAGGATGGTGGTTAACAATATGCAGCGTAGGTTCACTAACAAAAGGCCTTTGACTGACTAAATTTATCAATTTATCAGCCTTTTGTGCTGGCCTGCAAGAGGCCTTTGAGGTGATCTACCGGAACATCTGCATCTACAAGGGTGCAGTCACACATCCACCTTATCTGCACATCAAGACTATCTGATGCCAGCCAGCTCTGAAAACTGCAGCACTGAGATGGGAGATTATATTACCCATTATACTATGGCAGACCCAGTGCTGCAATGATATAGCTGCAAGATTTTCAGAGTGGAGCTGCCTTTAGTTAGTACAGAGCCATTTCTGTTTAGATTTTACCTTACTTAGCATTCAGCTTTTCTGAACTGGTTGCCTGACACAGGAACAGAAAGAAAGTGAAATTCTTCCATTTCAAGCAATTTAGTATGTCAGAAAGCACTTCTGCTGTTAATGTAATGTACTTTCATTTTGCACACTTCAGTCCGGGAAAGCGCTCGTTCAGCCAGTCAAAGCAGGCTTCTCATATTCACTGTTTTCAGCCTGATACATTAGCACATATACTCTAACAGGTGGCCAGTAATTAATCTTGTGAAAGCAAGACATAGCAACAAGAAAAATGTTAGCTCTTCTAAAACCATCAGCACATTTAATGAATATCATCGAACGAATGTAAACCCCATTGACTGAAGGACAGACAAGTCCCTTTAAGTGCTTTGCACAACAATCACTAACATATGTTCTAAAAGTAATACCAGGTACATCTGGGGTTTCTCTGTGCTTAAGTCATTGCTGTTATACCCCAGATACTGAATCTATTGTATTAAGAAAATCACTTCAGGCTTCCACTGGAGGCACAAGCATGCAAAGATGTAATGCAACTCTAGGCTAATATTGGCTCGTGCTGTAATTACATGTCTAGCACCTCCCACTCCTCAACAAACCTCAACTCCTCAAGGTACCCACAGTTTTGTAAGTCCTTACACACCCAGATATTAACCCTAGCTCAAGATTATGAATGTAGCTCGGTTTATTGCTGCTTTGACTGGAATCATGATAATATTTTGTTGCCTTTATTAGTATTCCACAATTTCACAGTAAACTAGCTGGCCTTAAACTGCTAGTCTCGGTGTCTGTTACCATATCCTGAATGAATGTTGCAACTAAATCTTGCCGTACAAAGGAATGTTTACTTTCGTGGCTGGTCTAGGACAGAACTTGGTCCAGCTCCCAGTGAAGTTAAGGAAAGACTGAATTCAACTGCTGGGATTCCTTTCTTGCCCAGCATTACCCTGTAAATTAGATTGACTCTCTGACCTCTCCATAGATAGATTCAGGATGCTAAATTGCAGCAGTGCATGCATCAGAAAAAGGGACATCTTTAAAGTCAAGTCATTCTGCTCCTAAATTGAATGTCATGTTTTATTAAAGAACTTTTAATCCCTAAATTCTTGCTCATAAAGATAAGGAACCAAATAAATATCCCAGGGACCCACTGATGATATATGGGAAAGCAAACTTCTGGACCTCTGGTTTCCTCTATTCCCTTTGAAAATACACTTTCTAGAGATAAAGGAATATCTCCAAGTCATATGGAATTATCTGCAAGCACCTCACTACGGTTTTTGTCTACGTTTCTTTTACAGTGCTTCTTTAGTCCAATTATCTCACATTCTGTTGCAAAAAGAATTTGATAACATAGGCATCTCTTGGGCAGAGACTGAAATGAGGATGTTATTGCCGTTCATTCTTACCATATGATGTGAACCATAGCAAGACAAGAAGGGATTTGAAGAAGCAGGTCCTTTCAAACATCCTGGCAACTTCTGTGAGGAATACGGGTATTTCAGTATGGCAGAGCCTAGGCCTAAGCATTCCCTTATTTGCCTTTCTAAGTCAGAGGGGCTAGCCCATGGCTCTGAAACAGCATATGGATCTCGGAGAGTATAAATGAAGCTCCTGGGTTGGGCCATGTCATCTCACTGACAGCAGGGGCTGAGCGGGCCCAGCAGCTGGGTGTCTGAATACTGATGTGTGAGAGATGGCCAGCTAACAGACTGGGGGCAGGATACAGCTAGGTTGTTCCAGCCCATTTCAAAGTGGAAACACAGCATGGAGACGGTTGTCATCTTCTGTCAGTAAAAGCCAGAGCCAGAATTACTTTCCTCAGACCTTGGCAGTACCAGAGCTGCAAACCCCTGCAAGCTCCTCTCCGTAGTTATCAAGCCAATCATTAGTAATTCACATCACATCGGATCAGGAAGCGAGCAGAGCTTTGTTCATGGATATTGAACTTCCAGAAAATTCAGAGAGGAAAAAAAGGTAGAACACATTTTAAGCATGGATCAAGCTCTTCGTAAAGTATGTGTCACTCCAAAGTCACAGAGATGAGGAATTTATTTCTCTGCCCAAAATACCACTTGCTACTGGTATAAAGAAGTCAATGACTTTTGTACCAGACTGTAGGGAAGCTGGTAGATATAGCTCATTGCTTCCCTCATAGGTACTACGAGAGTATGTAAGCCCTGGGCTCTGCACTTTCTTCATATCCACTTAGACCCCATGAAGCACAGAAGAGTACCTACAGGGCAGACAGCTGAGAGAAGGGAAAAATTCAGGTGAAACCGTCTTAGCTAGAAATATACTAAAAACTACTTAGTAAGATGTTTCCTTTACAAATCTTCAGAATAAAGATGACCTCCATATTTCTGAGACTTTTAGTGGCAAATATTTATTTTTATTTATTTACTGCCTGCAAGTACTAGCCTGAAGTTGATTTACCGTTGGCCGAAGAGAGATTGTAATGTTGCAAGGCAAATAACAACAGGTTTGCAGTAATAGATAAGGAAGAAAATGAACTGATCCAGGTAGGCATTACTTCTGTTGAGGCAAATGTCATCATTTTTATAACAGAACCATTCAGCCCTGAACTTTCTTAGAATTAGTTGTTCTTTCTCCTGCAAGTTAGGGCATAGTGACATTTTTCATTTTCTCAGTTTAAATGGACTCTGTGATAATAAGGATAGTGTATTTTATGCTACACTGAGCATGCGCTGCTTTGCCTAGCGAACACTTGACCTTAAACAATTTTGCACTTGGTACAGTAAGAGAAACAGGACATAGGGAAATGCCAGGAGTTTCACTTCTTTAACTGTGATTTTGAATTTTACATCTCTTTCTATCTCACTCTCTCTTTCTTCTTGTGAGTTATCTCTTCAGATGCTAAGTATTAGGAGTCACTGTGCCAGACTGGGTTTGTTGCTCCATAACAGTGTGGCTGATATGGGGATTTCACCATATGAGTCATTAACTGAAATGTTTTTAAATTGAGATGTGTGGGAAATCTGCTGGGACCAAGGAGGAAAATCTATGCAAACACAGAAACAACATAATCTTTAACGTTATCTGCCTCCTTGGCCTTTATGGAATTTGCTGATGAAGGTACCTGTTAAAAATGGGAAGTAAACAGATGTCATCCGGATTAGCTATTTTCACAGTTTGCTTTGTATGTATGTTTGCATATTTGCCAATAAAGCTAACCCTGTTTATCTCTGACAATTTTGAAGAATCCCTAAAAGACACTGTGAATAGCAAGTAGAAGCTATTTGCTAGATAAAGTTGGTAGTATTTAGGGTTTTAACCTTTGCTGTGCGAGATATGCAAATATATGTTTTTTATGTATATTTTTTTAAAAAATTTGCCAGTAGTGACATTTGCAGTGGTAAGTTCTGTTGTGTAACATTGTCTCTCTGCCACAGAGGATGCCTAGTAATCCTGCCATACCGTATGCGCATTTAAAAGTATGATTTTTTAAAAAACTGCTTTTAGAAGGTTAACACAGGGATCAGAATAACCCTGGCACATACTGTTTCCTCATAATTTCCTGGGCATGGAAATACTTTTAAAGTACAGTCCCAGGCCAGTTACAAGGACCTTCGTTTAAGAAATGAAAATGGACCACTTCACCCGAGCCGTATGCCAGCATTCATTTTCCCACCACCTTTGCCTACCACCCCTGGCATAGCTCCACCATGCATCTACATATCTTCTTACATGGTTTTACTTTGCTCTTCTAAATGCTGCCCAGAATGTAAGCTGCATTCCAATTTAGACATTACTAAAATCTGGCCAGTCTATAAAAGGATGTAGGCAACAACACCTCCATGAAGGGAGAAAGCTCTGGGAAGTTCCTGAGGCTGCTTCCCATGGGAGCAGCAATATTTCATGTGAAATGTAGCTTCACAGGGAAAACAAACCCTTGGAAGGACGGAGATCTTGTAGAAAGCTGTGTAGGTATAATACACTACCTGCTGAAACACAAGTGTATGGTGCTGTAACAAGGAAAGACAGCAGAACCTTAGCTATCATCAGCAAACCGTTTGTGGCTGTGGAAGATATTTATCAGTACAAGTGTTACTGGTTGCGCGTTGAGTATGAGGAGAACAAAAACAACACAGAAGATTGTGATGTGATGATTCAGATTTTAAATATTTGTTCTGCATAACAAGAAATGTTCACATTCTTTAGAAAAATAAGTCCTTGCTAATTGAAAGGACAACAGTGACTCACCTCTCAGCAAGACTAGTTTTATCTATGAAGTCACATGAAGTCCAGCAAATGATTCAATCAAGAAACATTATAAGCTGAAGCCTAAATATGGAGGAGAAAAAGTGTTATTTATTGTGACACAGGAAACATATCTTCTATTAACCATCTATAAGCTCAAGTGAAAGGTTAAGTTATTTAGTCACATGCAAGAACAAGTCACCCACCAGAGCCCTTTTTTGGACATTGGCTGTGAGTTTGTTAGCAGGCAAAGTCAAATTGCTTTGAATACTAGCTAGACTGGCATATTGTATATCTGCTACAACAACTGCACAAACTGGTAAGAGTCCTTCACCTCCATGAACAATTACCAGCCTCAGGGCAAGACATGGTGCTGACAACATTCACCCTCATACGCAGCTGGCCTTGCCTGGCAATGTTGACAGGGTAGAGGACAGATACATAGATAGACAGCAATTCGCTATATAAATGGAACCACTGCTCAGCCTCCATTCATCGGATCATAGCCTGAAAGACCTTAGTAACTGTTTGAAAGAGTAAGCAGAGAATAATCAGTGTTGATGTATCCTGGTTGTATCTTGCACAGTACACCAGAAAACTGGAACACAGTACTGATGGAAATTCATCTACATTGGCAAAGTAACATGGTCCTGTGGAACTGATACTTGAAGACTGTGGACTGACTTACACAATTATTTGGAGCGTGAAAATGTTAATTTATTTGCCAGCATTGTGAGTTAGGAACACTAACAGGGAGCTTGGTGTTCAACAGACCTTTTTGGAGTGTGGGTGAGCATGAGACTTTCATGAGATCTTTTACAGCTAGATGGAATGCCACACTTCTTATCCCTAAAAGTGTGATGACTCCTATCAGTAAGGTTCAGTAATCCATTTTCCATGTCAGAAGGCAACTTCAGTGAGCTTCTGCCACGCAAACTATAAAGCATTAGTTTGGAGATGATCCTTCAATATAAGCCCACTGTGCAACTGTGAAGGACAAGCAAGTTGTGGCTGGGTAACTGTTGTCAAAAGGAAATCGGACATTTGATGGGTGACTGGATCAGCAGCACCCAACGCTATCTCGTAGCTTATGAAGTGCAACTGATTGCTCCTGCCTGACCCATTGGTCTTAGGACTATTGTGGACAAAGAGATTTAGTGGGGTTTTTTTAGTGTTTTTTTTTTTTCCATCTAAACAGATGAAATGTAAGGAATGGGTGGTGGCATATAAAATCAGTGGAGATTAATGACAGTAATCATCATCATCCCATTTTTCTTTGTTTTATTAGATTAGCACTTCTTGGGAGTGATGTGAAGGAAACTGCTGTTAAACAGAAGAAACCGGACAGAGAAGGAGGAATAAGGTCAGCACATATGAGGTGAGAGGACACAAACTGGAGCCAATAGGTTGGTGGTAAACACACTGTGGGAAGGATCAGAATATCCAGCAAGGCTGGAGGTAAAGGTATAAAGCTTTACATTCAAGGTGTAAAGGTGACATCTCAACATTATTGAAGAAAGCACTTGGAGGTGTGTATGGCGAGGAAGATTTTGTCCTTAGAGATAAAATCTAATGCAGTAGATGGAAGAAAGCCAGTGAATGGATTTGAAGAGGGCCATATCTGAGACAGCTGGAAAGAGATTTAATCTGTGTGAGGCAAATAATTTAAAACAAGGACACTTTCAAATCAAACCTTCTTTAAAATAAAAAAGTCAATTTTTTTTTTTTTCAAAACAGTTTCATCTTCCTTTGGTTGGAGCAAAAGGTATTCAATGATTTTTCAAAGTAAGAAGCTGTCCTTGCACTTTTCCTGATCTATTGCAGACTAGAGAAAGCCTTTGAAAGCTCCTTTGCCCAGTTGTGCTATTGTAAAGTTTAATCTGGATACATTTAAATAGCTTCTGATAAGATAGGAAGTTGGCTGGTGATTACTAACTACATTGTAACCTTATGTTCTACGCCATCTGAGCCAGAAAGTTATGTGATAATTCTTTTTTGAACCACTGTCATATTATGTAACTGTCATCAAATTTCAGAACATTTAGTTGCTCTGTAAATTGCCTCATTTTGCCTACAAAATCACATAGTAAAATAAAATGTTAAAAACTTCATAGATGTTTTTACATTGACTTTTCTGGCTTTTGAAGTATCGGCTTAAGAATATTTTTCAATCTGTTTTCCCGCACACACGAATCTTAATTAAATGTTAGAACTGCAGACAATTGCACATGTGTCTGTGATGAATTAGGCTCACTCTGAATTCCTAGTTTTCCTCTATTTCCCCCATACTGCTTGTTCAGCTCACGTTCCCTTACACAGAATTATATTTTATAGTATTGTGATTGATAAATATCGATTAAAATGTCAACCTGATATAGATCAAAAGGTATCAAAAGCATACCAAAAAGGTATCAAAAATATATAGCAAAAGTTTGAAGCATGCATAAAACATGCAGGGATAATGACTTTGTGTGAAGCCATTTCTAGACTTTTACACTTCTACAAACTGGATTCTTGCAGTGCAGGAGCTCTGCACTGGGAGAGAAAGACAGCATTTGGAGATACCAGCTGTGTTACCTGTTCCTTTCTGGAGTTTGACAGAACAGCCAAGAGACCACTGTAACAGGCACCACTGAATTAAAGTCTATACTGTGACACCTGGAAGTGCTTTTGAGATCTTGGATCAGAGTGCATGTCTCATGCACACGTGAGAGCAAGGCCCAGGTGTGTCCCATTCTTACCGTGCTCAGGTACCCAGGGGGGAAAAGCTAGACACTTGAGCCACGTGGGCACTGTGGGATGCTTTGGTTAGGTTTCCAATCTCGAGGACCTGAGTTAGGAATTTGTTTAGCAGCTGCATTTTCCACTGGTACTGAATATGTCATAGACATTCTGGCAGTGGGAAAAGTTACATCAGCTGTTTTGCTACTCCTGTTGCCCTCCGGAGAAAGCAGCACCAGATTAGAAAATCTGAGTTGTGCTAAATAAAGAGATTGCATGAGAAAGTTCAGGTCCATATCTCCTGTAACAGCAGTCAGTATCTCCCTTAACAATATAATTCTTCTATTACTTGTTTTTATATAGTATTTCTCACAAATCAAAAATCAGTATCTTCTTCTGCTCCACCTTTGTCTGATTTTGTTGTGGGACTAGAAATCTGGTGTTAAACTTGTTACATGCAAGCAGAAGTTGGCTGAAAAGCAATAGCCAGAATATTCATTACCAATTAAATTACAAAGATGTGAAAAGCCTATAAGGCTCCAAACACCACAAAACCTTTGGGCTGGATCCCACATTTGCAGTGCTGTTCCTTTGTTGATTAGCATGATGGGCTTATACATAAAAAAGAATGTCTTGCACTAAACCTGGAGGTTTGTAATAATTTTAGTAAAACAGATGTTCTCATTGTTAATGTTGCACAGATGGATATTTATGCGTTTCCTGCCATTCAGTTGTTGGACTTTGTCCTTTGAATAAATGGCCTTTTGGGCCTTTTCTTGCGCTGAATTCACAGCAGTGGGATTTAGCTTTGTGTTTAAACCATTTCTTTTCCTATCTGTTACTTTATATGATATTACTCAGTTTAATCCTCAGTTTTTGGCATTATTTGCCAAAACCAAGGCTGCTATGCGCTATAAATGAATAATAGAGGAAAAAATATGAAGTAGTTCTTAAGAAAGAAAAATGATCTTATCTTTGATTGTGTTGTTTGTGTATCTGCCATACTTGACTTGTTTCACTGAGTTATTATTCAGAAAAGCTGGCTTCTACGATCCTTGGACAATATGAATAGAATAAATTCTTTCAGCTGAAAGTACTGAAAATATGTCCATCCAGAAGTGAGGGACATGCTGACGATTAAAAAAAAAAATCATTTATTCTTTCTCGTTGATTCAATTTTTTAAATAAAGTTTTCTATTTTACTCATCTGTTTATATACTTCCCCATGGAAAGGAAAGATTCAAAGCTTCATTGAAATTCTGTGGGGAGCATTATATTTCTTGCTCCTCTGAAAGGAGAGTGCATTCTTGATGAATATAAGTACAGTTATCTTGAAGTACAGTAGAATTTGGGAATTAGTTTTAATTAATGTTGGTAATGCATCTTTAGTCTTAATTATCTGCAGACAAGTGAAAGTGCCATCTTTTTTTTTTTTCTGTAAAGCCAATAAATTGCTGGAAATAAAGCATCCCTTCAGCTTCTGTTGTTACTTTTTTACTGGATGAGGGAAGAATTTGTTGACTTCTGTGTGGACTGTGAGAATTTTTCAGAATATAAATAATGAAGTGCAAAATAACGAGATTCTGCTGTATGTAGAAGCATTGCAATACCTTATGGAGAAGAAAATAAAGTCTGGTTTATTTATGGGCTCTTGACAGGAGTCTGAGCAGTTCCTTCTAGTTATTCTCCCTCTTTCCAGCTATGTTTATTAGTTTCCTCTCATGTAAGGCATCGGGGCAAAGATTCACAACATCCTCTAAAATCTGGGCTCAAAAATAGCTGAAATACTAAAATGGAAGGTTCTCTAAGAGAAGGTGAGTTTTGTTGAGTAACTGGCAACACAGGAACTGATTTCTAGCCTACATTACAACTCTGCAGTCTCACTGGAATGAATAGTTTTCTATCTTGCAATCACAACTACCCTATCTGATCAGTACTGACGGCATTTAGTAACTTTCTCTACCAAGTTTCATAATTCAGGCACTCTTTATTCTCTCCTAAGTCCAAGCTTGGCAGTCTTAAGACCTATTATATGAAAGAAAGTGAAAATGTGGCAAAAGATGACAAGTAACTACGCACAATTTAATTCTAAAGCTAAACAGAACATATTACCCTTTCAGACAGGTAATAAAACAATGAAGGCCAGAAATTAAAACTTAATAATAGTAGTATTTTGGGCTTGATCAGGCAAGAAAATACCAGTAGGTAGGTTAGAGAGGATATCAACCTTTTTCACATCTTGACTTTTCTAAGTTTAAGTGGCAATCCTAATTAATTACCTATTTTCACACTTAAATGCCTAATAATTGTAATGTGTCAGTGAATAGAGGACTATCCCTTTTACTCACTAACAAAACTTTATG